AACTCAAGGGCGTCTAGAGGAGATAAACTTGGAAGAGGACACAGATGAGGTAGAGGACACAGAAGGAGGAGATGAAGATGAGGGGGATGACAACACCTGAGAGGAAAGTGGGGAGGAAGAGGAAGAGCACTCGTTGGGGGTGCCTGACGAAGAGTATGTGGACTACCTGGCCAGGACTGAGCAGTATTGAGTGAAGCTCGCACAGGATCACACGGGACCTGATGCAAAGGAAAAGAAAGTGCTGAAAGCAGACCATGCCTTGACAAAAACGTTCTTCGATGATTTAAGATGTTACATTGGGACAAAAGTTAAACTGAGTAGTGAATTCCCTCAGTATCACTGGGAGTTATTTCCAATAAATTGGAGTGAAGCAAGGTAGCTGCAAAGATTTTCTTTTGTACAGCCTTAGGTGTAGCAGGAGTTCTGGTGAGCCCTTTGCCTTCCTCTTTGAGGGGACTGCACCAGGGCAGGGGGACTGTACTAGCCGTGTCTTCTGTTTTCTGTATTCTGATGCTTTGACATCTGGGGCTTGCTGATCTTGGAGGGACTGCCCAGGGTCAGGTGAGCGTGCTTCTCAAATGCAAACCAATCAATCTAGAGCCCAAACCCCAACCGCCTCCTTTAGTGGCTTTCACACTCTGGGCCACTATCCACCTGCCCTAATCAGCCCAGGCCAGGTACCAGGTAATTAGAGACAACCTCTATATCCCAGAGCTCACTGAAATTATTCAAACTAGCCAATCTTTGCTCATTCTGCCTCTCCTATTCCTTCCCTTGGAAACCATAATAAAGGCCTTTGTCCACAGTTTTCCCTCTCTCCCTCTGCCTCCTGACTGACCCTGGTGCTTCACTGTGTGGCCCCTGTGGAGTAGTGTGCCATCGCCTCTTGGGATCTGTGAGCATAAGAAACTGTTTTTTCAATGGCAGTCATCTCCTTACCCACAGCTAAATAATAATAAGACCTATATTAAGCCAGGCAGAGTGCAGAATAGCTCCCGTCTGTGCCAGGGCTGGGTTTAGGATGAGATCACACAAACACCAAGGTGAGACCTTGAATGTGAAGTACCCATAGGAAGGATGTTTCTGTTCTAACAAAATTGGAATATGTTGTGCTTTGTTGGGGGGTTTTCCTTCTAAAAAACAAGAAATTTTTAGAGAAGACTGTTACGATTCACATGTATCATTGTGTTAGTCCGTTCAAGCTGCTATAACAAAATATGATAGACTGGGTGGCTTATAAACAACAGAAATTTATTTCTCACAGTTCTGGAGGCTGGAAGTCTAAGATCAGGGCGTCAGCACAGCTGGGTTCTGGTGGAGGCCTGGAGACTGCCAACTTCTTGCTGTGTCCTCAGATGGTGGAAGAGGCTAAGGAGCTCTGTGGGGCATCTTTCATAAGAACACTAGTTCCATTTACCAGGGCTCCACCCTCATGGCCCAATCGTCTTCCAAAGGCCCTCCTCCTAATACCATCACCTTGGGCATTAGGTATTCAACATACAAATTTGGGGGGGACACAAACATTCAAACCATAGCAATCATCAACCTGGAGATTATCTCTTTCATTTCTAAAAATTAGCAAAAGCTGCCTGCAATCTATTTGTGAACACTTTCTTAGTTATCTTTAAAATAAAATACTTTTTAACTGGGTAAAAAAAAAATGCACCACTTTTGTTCAGTCTGAAAAGCTTTATGGAGTGATGGTGTGGTTGAAGATGCACTGGAATATTGCAATAGAGACTGGTAAGCTGAGAGGAAAAGAAAACATTCTTCACAGAGTAAGTCTGTCGTGAAGATTCAGCATGGAAACAGAAAGAAGCAAGGAGGTTTAAATTAAATATCTGGGTTGATTTCTTTTATTCCACTGCCAATGCTCCTAATTAATGCACTACTTTTAGGGGATAAAAAATTTCCGGCATTAAATGATCTTATTTCTATTAAGATAATTTCTACATACACTTTTACAAGATCAGCTGAAACCAACTAATTAGAAACAGATGTTCAACTACTGCAGAATTAGATTTAACTGGTTATTCAATTTTAGGATGGCCTTTTATGATTGTTTCAAAATCTATTGAGAATATATTTCTGAAGCCTTGGGTTAATATTTGCGTGTGCATATATTGAGCTTTAAATAATCACATAGACTTGAATTAATCTCAACTCCTCTGTTTACTGCTATTTTTGTTTCCTACATCTTTTCTTACATAGAAGCAAAGATTTCTGAAACCACATAGTCAGGGGTTGACAAAATCTAACCAAATAGATCATGGTAATCTTAATAAATATAAATGACTTCATTTTTATGTTAGTTTCTAGATGTTTACTTGCAATAAATATATTTAGACTCATTTTTTTCCCAACAACTCATGTCTTAAGTAGGTAGGTCCTCCCATTACTCCAAAAGAGAAAGATTAGACCAGTGAGGTGTTAGCAGTACCCACACAAAAGACTAGTAAGCAGATAAAAAAGAAAAACAAGGAAAGTCTCCAAAATGGACTAAGTGAAAAAAATCAAAGTACAGAACAGGGTGTATACTAGGTAATCTTTGCTGTAACATAATGGAAATTGGACAAGTTGTTTCTAAAATATGCTTGGCAACGTAAATGGTCAAGAATAGCCCAGGCAATCTTGAAAATAAAAGACAAAGCTAAAAGAATATACTATAACATGACCTCTTATAAAGCTGAAATAATTAAGAGAGTATGGTGCTAGTATGAAGGTAAACAAATAGATCAAAAATAGAGTGTCCAGAAATGGACACACACACATATACAGTCACATGATTCACGACAAAGGTGACGCTCCAGTGCAGTAAGGAAAGAATGATCATTTCAAATTGCACTGAGTCGACTGAATATCCATATTAGAAAAAAATCAACCTTCCTCCCACTAGATTGAAAAAATAAGTGTAAAAGGTAAAACAATAGTTTTTGGAAGAAAACATATGAGAATACCTTTACGTCCCTAAGGTAAGCAAATACTTCTTAAAAGGACAGAAAAAGTACTAGCTGTAAAATGAAACAAATTGATAATCTGAGCTTTATTAGAATTAAGATCTTCTGTTCCTCAAAAGACACCATTATGGGAGTGAAAATGCAAGCCACAGAATGGGAGGAGATATATGCAATAAATATATCCAACAAAGGATTTGCATGCCAAAATATAAAGAATTCATACAAATTAAGAAGAAAAAAAGCCAACAATACAATAGAAAATGGGTAAAGAATTGAATAGACACTTCACAAAAGAAGTTTTACAAATAGCCCATAAACATATGAAAAGTGCTCAATTCATTAGTCATCAAGGAAATGCAAAGTAAAACCCCAATGTTATATACCACTACACAATTAATTGCTGTAATTAAAAAGACATTAAATGCCAAATGTTGAGGAGGACGTGAAACAAATGAAATTCTCATACTCTATTGGTGGCAGTATAACTGGTACAACCATTTTGAAAAGTTGTTTGGCTTTCTTATGATCTAGAAATTCCACTCCTAAATATATACTTAATAGAAATCCTTATATTTGTTCACCAAATGACATGTATAAGAATGTTAATAGAATCACTATTTGTAAGATCCTAAAATGGATACCATCAATTATAGAATAAATTAAAAAATATTGTAAATTCTCATAAAAGAATAACATAAACCAACGAGAACGAACTATTGCTACACACACAGCATGAATGATTCTCACAAATAATTTTCAGCAAAAGAAACTAAATGAAAACACATACTGTATGAATCCATTCACTGAAACTTTAAAAACAGGCAAATAACTTTTGGTGTTAGAAGTCAATAATGATATCCTTAAACCGTGGGAGGGTGGGGGGGATAGTTACAGAATGAGGCCAAGAGAGGGGCTTCTGGGATGCTGGTAGTATTTCTTCATCTGCCTCTATGCATCTGTTCATTTAAAAAAAATCCATTGAGCTGTACACTTCTGATGTGTGCACTTTTCTGTATGCATTTCACATGTCAATTTAAAAATTTTACAAAAAAAGATATAGGTACCAAATTGAAGGTGCCTCCACTGAACTAAGATGAGTCAAAATGACCATCAGAAAGGATAAGGTCAGCAACATATAAAAGACATCAAATATGAAAAATTCAGGAATTTATAATCAAACTAGGAAAAAAATTATCAATAACCTTTGTAGATGGTTAAGGCACAAACTCATTATTCTAAAAACTGATAAAGAGAAATAATCAAGCATTATCCCCTGCTTTTCCTATATGAATTAGATTTCAGGATAATCAAATAGTTGATAAGAGAACATTCTTCTTAGTTGAAGAATTACAGATAATTAATGCAAAAGGAAGAACAGAATTCAGAAATCACCATATTGCAACCCCTAATGGAATAATGGCGTGTGTCTTCTGATGTAATAAGAAGCACTCAGCACCAGCTAAATAAAGCCCAAACGAATCAGGTCTCTGGCTCTAAATGCTAGTTTATAGCAAATATGATAAAATAAAACATTAAATGAATGCCAAGGATGTAATCAGCCACATTTGAAATGTGGAAAATTTACAGAAGAAATGACTTGATTTCTTCAAAAAGTAAATATCATAGGAAAAAAGGTAAGGAGGTACAAGAGCTGACTCTTACAGATTGAAACTAAAGGGATAGAGCAATCGAATCAATATTTGGATTTATTTGGATCTTGATTCAAACAAGCCAACTATTAAAAGACATTTTTTAGATAATCCAGAAAATTTTAAGTAGAATGGATATTAGATATTACTAAAGAATTGTTATATTACAGTCATGTTTTTAAAAAATCATTATCTGTTAGAGATATTATTGAACTATTTACGGACGAAATGATATAATCTCTGGTATTGGCTTCAAAAGACTCCAGTAAAGGAAAGAGGTAGTGATGTATAAAACAAGATTGGCCAATTGTTGATAATCTTCAGTACTCCCTGATGTGTACACAGTAGTTTGCTTTTTTAAAGTATGTTTGAAATTTCATACATAAAGACTTACCCCATCCTTAGCTTTCACCAAGAGATCATAGGTGGCTGGATCCTTTTCCCTGTCAACGTCTTGAGAAACACAGATTCGCCCATCATGTGGGTCGATCTGGAATGCTTGAGGCGCTTCACAGCTTTGGAATCCATCATAAAGAGAATACTCGACAAAGCCATAGAGTCCTGCATCTGCATCGCAGGCTTTTACCTACAAGACAAGAGGTTGACCAGTGAGGATATAGAGATGTTATCATTACTTTTCAGTTGGTCACGAATTACTATCATGACCTGCACAACCAAGTAACCTCTAGAACAAGTCACAAATTGTAGGCTTTGGTTTTTCTCTCTCCTCTCTTACCTTCTGTGGCACTCACCCTCACTTTCCTCCTCCCTTTGTGACCTCTCCTTTTCAGTCTCCTTTGCCCATTCCTGTACTTTCATGTGATCTCTGAAAGTTGAAGTTCCTTGAGACTCAGCCCTCCATCCTTTTGTGTTCTTATTCCTTTCACTATACCTAAGCAATCACATTCAATCTCAAGGGTGTAAAAACATCCATTTGCTAACAGCTTGACACCATATCTATGGATTCTCTCTCCTACCGAAGCGCTTCAAGTGATGGGCTCACCATCCTACCCCTGATTTCTCTACAGAGAAATGGTAAGTGGCATGATTACTAGTAATCCAATTCAACTGACAGAATTCGCCCTGGAGTACAAGATTTGAGTTTTTCAAGCCAGGTTTCCTTCCAGGAATAATGCCCCCATCAGCACCCTGCACAATTGTGCAGACTGAATACTGCAGAAAGGCATCTCGCCCAGCGGGCACATGGGGATGAAATTCAGCCCACACTCTGCTTGCCAAACCAGGCACACTGACATAGAGCTGTAACTGCCCAGAGGAAAGGGCTCCTTTCTCTTTGACCATAAATACCATTTATGTTAGCAGTAGGCCTGTGACTGGTAGAAAAGATGAAGCAACTGGAATTATGAAAGCACTTAACTTATTTACACCAACTGTGAGAGTATACAGTGAGAAATACAACAGGCTATACAGAACTCTAAAAATTTTTGAGTTCATAGGTTCAGTATAGTTCTTTTGACTTGTAACCCAATTAACAGTAACAGCAAACATCTACATAGCATTTACAATAAAAGAAGCACTTTAAGGGAAGATCAACAACAACAAAAAGAAACAGACAAAAAGGGAAAAAGAACTATATGCTATATGCTACAGAACAGGTACTATTCTAATTGCTTAACATATATTACATACTTATGACCTATAGGGAACTAATACTCTGTTTTATAGATCAGAAAAGTCAGGCTCAGAGAGCTGATGTAACTTGCTGAAGATCACACAGCTAATAAGTGTCATAACTGGGATTCAAACCCAGGCAGCAGGACAGCAGAGGACATGCTCTTAATGACCACTCTATTCTGCCTGCCAAGTCTTACCCCCTGTCATTTCATCCTTTATTTACTGAAAAAATACCCACCAAATCTCCTGACCTTCCTCCAGTGCAGAACTGGCTGGATCATGTGTAACGCCCTTCCAAGTAAGTGTTTACATCATATACATGTGACTTTCTCACCAGAATATCACTAATCTGAAGGCAACTGGCAGTAATGCCTGTGCTCTTGAGTCTTAGCTGAACCTCCTATTCCATGTGGTCAAATTCCAACTGTGTCCCAAAGAGTAAAAAAATAAAGTGATGACAACTGGAAATAAAAGGGAATTAAGCAGATCAATTCAGAAAGTCCAACATCCAACTAATAGACGTCCCAGAAAAAGAGAATAGAGAACAGAGAAAATGAAAGAAAAGAGCTGTTTCTTTGGCTCATAGCACACATATTGGTGAGGTCCTCAAAGTCATTATGATAAAGGAAGAGAGAGTGGAAGAGGCACTCTGTGGTTTTTAACTTCTTCAGCCCAGAAGTTAAGTTTGGCTCACATTTCACTGGACAGAACTAGTTACATGGCCCCAACCTAACTCTAAGGGAGCCTGGGGAATGTAGGGGCTCACAAAGACGTTTGATGAATACAAATAGCCTTTGCCACAAGTGCCACTTCGTCTTTACATGAAGACAAGCATGTAAGATTATGTAGGTCTCCAAGAAGCCTCTACTATGTAGTGAAATTGAAGCAAGTAGAAAGTTATACTCAGAGAAGGCTCCCCATTGTGATCCTATCACAGATTTAGTTTTGGCAGTGCAACATATTTCTGTAAAGCTCTGTGGAAGGAGGCAAAATAGAAGACAATCAATCACCTACATTATTATATTCCTACTGCACTCATTTAACTCTAGATTGAAAACAAATGATCCACTTTTCATCAGTACAATACACATGCAGGAGCTATAGCTTAATTATTATGCTTTCCAAATCAAGCCCCATCCCAATAAGATGTTCAACAACCAAAGTTCTCAACAAGCCTGCCCCTTCATCCCATTCTATCTTGGGAATATTACTGGAACCTGGGGTTTGGGGGCTATTTGTGTAGTCTAGCCCAGTGGTTCTCAATCAAGAGCAAGTTTGCTCCCAAGAGGACATTTGGCAATGTCTGGAGACATTTTTGATTGTCACAACTGGGAAGAAGGGTGCTAGTGGCATCTAGTGGGTTGAAGCCAGAGATGCTGCTAAACATCCTACAGTGCACAGGACAGACCCCACAACGAAGAATTGTCTAGCCCAAAATGTCGATAGTGCTTAGGTTGAGCACCCCTGCACCAGACGAGACTCAACAATTGGCAATATTATTTCCCTCTTTAATAGTCTTTAATTTTTTTCAGTGGATGACACAGTCATTTAAATTTTTTTCACTCTCATCTATCTCATATTCTCTGGCAAAATTATTCATCCCCTGCAACCAGCTAACATATTTGTGAGTTATTCTTCTCATCAGATGGGCTGAAACAGGAAATCCACAAACTTCCCCACTACAAAGAACTAAATTCCAAGTACATTTGGTCTATTCCATTCTGGCAGCTGTTAATGATTTAGAAGCCTCAAGTTCCCAAAGACACCAAATATATCTTCTAAAACCATATGCTATTCTCAATAACTTTGGCTTGATTGGAAGATAAATACAATGAACTTTAAATTCTAAAGCTCATTCTCAGTCTTTAATTGCACATATTAACAAGTAATTTTGCTTACATAAAACAAATTTCCTTATTTTTACTTTCAAGACTTTTTTCTCATCCAGATTTTTGGCAAAGCAAAATATGAGGAGTCAAAAGTGGGAGAAGAGTACTGATCTCAATTTATGTTAGCAGTTCAGAATCATAAAATAAGAAGGTATTCCTCCCTGTTTTTACTCAACTCCCTAAAATATTGACCTAGTATTCTGGAACAACACATTCTACCTACTAATATTTGGTCTTGAATGCCTATAATTAATTTGCCATCTTTATGAGGTCTATATTTTCCAATATCCATTGATTTACATATAAAATTTAGGCAATTTAAAATTAAATGAAAATGTCTTTGCCAAATCTGCAAGAGGAAATCCCGGTTAGCAAATAAGCTCAAATAACCCTTTCTTCAGAAATAGTTGCTTAAATCAAAGAATCAGAGAAGCATCTGGTCAGAGTCTATTATCACAATCTTATGGTGATAAATTAGAGATCTAGAGGAGATCCTGGGAGGAGTTTATCCCTCAGTCTGCTCAAAGAGCCACATTACAGTACTCTCAATGCCTGTGTTCCTCATCTTGATCTCAATTTACCTGCTTTAGACTGAGATGAATTTGATAAGTTTTACTTTAAAGTTATTCCAACTCAGAACTGTTCTCCCTTAGCACGATCTTTCATAAATTTAATGGAGATATTATAAAAATGCAAAATATTAATATGATATTAATATCTCCCTGATTCCATTATTGGTTTCCTGAAATTTAAAGAATTTTTTTACCACTTCCTTCATTTTAACATCTGGGTAAGGATGCCTCCATATGAATGTGTCATGGAGACAGGAGACAAATTGAGAACACTGGCTCTTGAAAGCATGTTTACATATTCCACAAGTGAATGGATCTATTTGCATTCCCCTCACCAGCACTGCAACCCCCAGCCCATCTGGGAAGGTATCCTCTTCAACAACTGGGCAGCTTTGTTGGAGGTCACCTGCCCAGCCATTCACATCGGCACCCAAAAACCCAAAAGTCAACCCAAAGTCATAGGGTGACATATTGTCAGCAACATTGTCTTTTATCTACTCCTGCTAAATAATATCACTTAATTCAGTGATGTTTGTAGAAAAGCCTCAGAACTCAATCAAAAAAAAATGAGCAATCAACAAAAAAAGTCCTAGAAAAAAATGGCTGCACTTTAGATGAAATTCAAAATTAAATAACTCATTTTAATTTTTTCTTATTACAATTTCCAAAATTTCTACCATGAGCATATAACAGTTTGTTTGAAGAAACAAAGTTATTGACACAACACACTCACACATAGAACTTCAAATAGAAAGAAGAAAAGGAAAAAAAAGAAATCAAAAAATAACTTTTTACATTTCAAGTGCTTGGCCAACCACTGACCCCACAGCTAAAACAGGATTATAATACTGCAGTGAAAGTTGGATTCAGCATTGGGAACCACAACGGATGCAAGCATGGCGCTCCCTGAACACAATTTTGGCAAGTTCACCAACGACCTGTGTCTTAACAAGTCTGATAATCATGGCTCAGTCCTTATTTTCGACACCATTCAGCAGCTTTTCACAAAGTTAATCATCTCCTTCTTACTGAAACACTTCCGCCATCAGACACCACACTCTGACTCTCCTTCTCCTTCTATACCTCACTGACTACCTTCAGTTTCCTTTATTGGCTCTGAGTTTTCTTCCTGGCCTCTGAACACTGCAGCACCCCAGAGCTCAATCTTGGGACCACTTCTCTTTTCAATCCACACACATTGCCTCCAGTGGGCTGAATGGTGACCTCTAAGAAGACATGTCCACATTCTAATCCCTGGAACCTGTGGATACTACCTTATATGCTAAAAGAGTGAATGTTACTTTATATTGCAAAAGACATGATTAAGTTAAGGATTTTGAGAGGAGCTTATCGTGGATTAGCCAGATGAGCCCTGAATCCAATGACAAGTGTCCTCATAAAAGACAGGTAGAGAGATCTGACAGACAGAAGAGGGCGAAGTGATGTGACCATGGAAGCAGAAATTGCAGTGAAGGGGCCACAAGTCAAGAAACACCAACAGGCATCAGAAGCTGGAGGAGACAAAGAAGGGATTCTCCCTTAGAGCCCCCAGAGGGAGCAACGCCCTGCCGAGTTTTGGACTTCAAGCTTCCAGAATTATGAGCAACAACAATTTCTGTTGTTTTAAGCCACGAAGTTCACGGTTATTTGTTATGGAAGCCCTAAGAAACTAATACACTCCCTGTGTGATCTGACCTAGGCCCAGGGCACTAAACCAACATATGTTCTCCCAATATTGTATCTTCATCTTGTGCTCCAGATTTATGCATCATCCTTCTACCAATTACATCCTCTCTCAAGGGACTAATAGGCACTTCAAATGTAATACGACTAAACAGATCTCTTGATTCCCATCACTCCAAAATCTGCTATTCTCCCAGTGTTTTTAGTGAATGGTGCCATACATTCACTTTTGTAAAGGCCACCAGAAAGGCAGTCCTAAAATAACATCAGATCACGTGCTCTCCTACTCAGAATCTTCCAATGGCTTCTCACCATACTCAGTAAAATCCAGCTCTTTAATTTGAGCCCTGGCTAGTCTCTGACCACATCCTCCACTAACTCTCTGACTCACTCACTCCCCTCTGGATACACTGATCTCCTTGAGGGTCCCAGAACCCACCAGCCTATATAACTTGCTCCCTCATATCTTTCAAATTTCTGCAAATACCAGCCAATCACAAAGGCCTTTCCTGATCACTCTACC